ACAATGAAAATGTATAATAAACAATGAATAAGCAAATATGAATACCCAAAGTTACAGGGGAGATTTAACTTCTCACCACACGGCGCTCTCTGGGTGAGATGCTGGGCAAACACAAGGAGGGCACTGCTGTGAGCAAGGGCCCTGTGCCGTATTCCCCCACCAGGCGAGGGGCCACGGGCCCCCCAGGGAAAGTGCCTCCTGCATCCACAGCATGCCTCCCTTCTGGATCCTGCCCCACAGGGCCTCCCCGTGGAGTGTGGCTCAGTCTCCCCAGGAAACTCCTCACCCCCCCCCACCCCGCCAGAGCCACCGGCAACCCTCCCAAGCATTCTTGTCAACACCGCCTCCTAAGCGCTGGGTAGATGAGCTGCTAAGGTTCCAGGGCCTGTGCTAATGATGCGAAGCCCGAGTGTGTGTTCACGCCTCAGTTTCCCCTTCTGCTCTGTCTCCCACCTCCTGCCACTCTGGCCCCCACCTCCCAGCCCCCTCCTCCCGATGCCTCTGTGTTTCCGGGTCTTGCCTGGGCACCTTAAGAGGGATGAGGCAGGACGTCCCCGGTGGTCCAGGAGTTAAGACTTCCCCTTCCAGTACAGGTGGTACAAGTTCAATCCCCAGTCAGGGAGCTCAGATCCACATACCTCGGGGCCAAAAAGACAAAACGGAAGACATAAACAACATTGCAACAGGTTCAATAAAGACTTTAAAAGTGGTCCACGTCAAAAAGCATCTTTAGAAAAGGAAGAAGCGGCATGACCCCCTTTCAAGGCAACAAAGGAGGGGGACACTCTTTGTGGGGGGGAGGTGGGGATCCAGGAGGAGTGGCTGGCCAAGCAGGACCCCGAGGACTCCCACCTCAACTCCACACAGGACTGGTGCCCGGCAGAGCTGAAGGGCTCCCGGGAGGCCAGCTGGAGCCACCGGTGCCTCCCTGCGGGGGCGGGGTACAGGAGAAGCCGGACGTGGCCCCGAGTCTCCACTCCCTGGACGGGTGCCCTCGTCCAGGGCACCCACCCTGACCCGGGCCGCTCTAAACCCCACTCCAGGACCCACTGGCCAGTCAGCTCCGGTTCTGGGCTCATCCCCTGTTCCCAGGAGAGACACACGGCCCTCCAGCTCCCTCCCCCAAAGTATCAGAGCAGATCACAGGTCCTGGGGGGGGGGGGGCGGGGAGCTCACTGTCATCTCTGCTCCTGCTTCAGAGATGGACCGAGGCCCAGGAAAAAACGGGTCCACCCCCCAGGCCTGTGCCCATCCCCAGGCAGGGACTTCTCTCCACTCTGAATGCCGGGAGACACAGCTGTGCAAGCGCCAACCCGTGCAGACAGCATCGCCCCGCTGGCCCTTCATGCCAGCGTGCCAGGGCTGGGGTCCTCCTCCCCAGTTCCTTGCAGCCCTGCCCGCCTCTCAGCCACAGCGTGACGGGCACACGGATGAAGGGCAGCTGGTAGCTGCTGCTGACCTGGGAGGGGGCTCCCGCTGGGGCCAGCAGGGCCCTCCCTGGGCAGCCCAGGAGGCCGGGGATCCTTGCCCCAGGTCCAGGGTCTTGGGGCCTGCAGTGGTGAAGGGCGCATCCCTCCAGCATCCCGAGCGGGGCCTGGCCAGCAATCCCTAGGAGAACTGGAACAGCAGAGAGTCAATTTGCCAAAACTGGAACAAAAATGCGAAAGCAATTGAAACTGGATGATTGGATGGAAAGAGACTGAGTATGAGTATGATCGGGGAAAAGAAGTCAGAGTGGGGGATACACGGAGGAAGAAGGTAGGATCCGTGGTCCAGACAGCCCTGCAGAGGTGTGGCCACGGCCGCTCTGATGGGGAGGCCAGAGCTCCAGCGGCAGGGCCCAGCCAAACTGGAAACGGGAAAGGGCGATCGCCTAAACTGAAGACCACGCCGTCCAGCCCCGCTTGCAGGGGGCCTCCCGACCCGGGCGGCACGCGGCTCCTACACGGGCAGAGCGGAGACTGTAGGCAGACTGACGGGGCCATCTAGCGGCGGGGGCCGGCGGGGCGGCGGGGGCCCGGCCCGGAGGCGCCTCCTGGGAGCGGGGGCAGGAACCGGGCAGCCACCTGTCCTCAGCAAGGATGCTGGCGAGGGATGGGAGGATGGGAGGCTGCGGGGAGGGGGCGGGGCGGAGGGAGGAAGGAGAGGACCGCGGGAAAGGAGGGCAGGGCCCAGACGGGTCAGCAAGGGCCCCTCAGGGTTACCTGGGAGGCCGGGTCAGCGCCGGCAGAGGCTGGGGCTTGGAACCTCCGACCCGCAAGGGGGAGGGGCCCGGCCCGTCTGGAGGGTAACGGCAAAGAGAGGGAGCCATCTGGCGTCTGGAGGTGGAAGACGCCCGTGTCTGGTGTCTGGGAGGTGGGGAGGGGTGGGATGAAAGGCAGGGGACGCGGGGGGAGGGCGAGACCTCAGCATCTCGGGGCGCTCGGCCGATGCCCTCATTTCTAGGGCGAGAGACGCAAACTGCAGTGGCTTTCTGTCCTGATTCCCCACCACCACCACCACCCCCGCCACGGCAGGGAGCAGGTCCTTGGAATTCAGGCATCAGTGGTGGGTGGACGGCCTATCGCTTTTTCATTTCTGAGGATCCACCAGTCTCGGGGCAGGCAACCCTGGCAGGCTCTCAGGGTGTCCAGGGCTGGCAGGCATGGTTGGCCTCAGCCCGATCCCAAACCCCCGCCCACCCCCGCACCGCTGGGGCAGGACGAAGGGACCTCCCACATCCTGGGAGTGAGGGGCCAAGTGCCCGCTCCCCGAGGCCTCAGGTCTCCGAGCCCTCTGCAGCTGAGGCACTCGGGCTTTGGTTCCCCAAGTGCCAGCCTCGCTCTGGTGCCTGGCCGGTCTGGGGTCCTGGTGGGATGCTGGGGGAGCATCCCTGGTCACATGGTGGCTACATGGGTCCTGGGTTTCGGGCTGTGGGGTCTGAGACCCAGTGCTGCAGCCCTTCTGCCTTTCTAGGAAACGAAAAGGGGAAGGAGGGAAGGGGCTGGAGGGAGGCACCACTCGTGTCCGGAGAGGGCGGTCAGGAGGCCAGAGTGTCCCCAGGGCCCAGGGGCTTGAGGACAAGCCCCCACCTCCAGCCGTGTCGTGACCACGCTGAGCTGCACGAGGTGACCGCCCCGAGCAGACTGACCTCCGGGGTCCAGGCCAGTGTGACCCTCCTGCTTCTGTCCCACTGGGAGGCCTTGAGCAAGTCGGATTGACGCCCCAATAATCATAGACCAACATGGAGAGGGGGAGGGGCTCCTGGACGGCAGAGTGTCAGTGATGCTGGGCTTCTGTGAGGGCGCCCCACTGCAGACCCTGACGATGCCCCCCTTCCACGCTGCTCCCAGAAAAGCGTGTCTGCGTGGAGCCCACCCAGACCATGGCTGGGGCCCAGCGACAGCTCTTAACTGCACCGAGTGAACCCCAGGCCTCGCTCCGTCCCCTCCACGTGGACAGCCCCGCCCCCCACCCCACTCCGGAGCAGTTACTGTGTCTGAGCAATAGGGCAGGGCCCAGAAGGAGGACATATTCTGCAAAAGGGGTGGGGGGATCTTTGCTTTTCTTTTTCTGGTTGAAATAAGACTTTGAGTTTGTTCCTTAAATGCAGGACCTAGGAGCTCCAGCATTGCTGGCCCTGAGCGCCAAGCCCACTCCTGGACGCCCCTCTCTGACCAGGGCAGTGTGCCCCCAGTGCCCTGCCCCACCTCGGGCTGCAGCCCCTGGGGAACAAGGACTGTGACCCACTCCAGGGAAAGCCAGCTCGGCGTGATGTGCAAGGAGCCTGAATTCCACATTCACCTCATCTCTGGCCTGCACTTTGCTCCGATCGATGCAATCGTGGGGGCGGTGTGTGCACAGCCTTGCCCACTCCCCGCTGCCCCCCGCCCCCGGCACAGTGGGCCTCCGCCCACCACGCAGGCACCAGCACCGCCTGCTGCTCTGAGCTGGGGTGCAGCCCCCAGACCCACTGGGGCCCAGCCGGCCAGCCCATCCCCTCAGCTCACTCTGCACCAGCCCCTGAGCGCGTCTCCATTCTACTTTCAGGACGTTAAAAATAATGCATTAACCGAATCACAATAAAGAGCAGCAGGTTCAAGTTGTTCTAAGGTGTCAGAAGCTCCTCAAATAGCACCACTTGGCGTGTGATGTGCGTCCCGACCAGTTGTAGTGCCTGGAGCCTTCAGGAGGAGCATAGCCCCCCCACCCCCTACCCCTGTCTTTCAACTGCAGGGAGACCTGGCCTGCATGATAACGTCCCTGGGAAAACATTTAAATAAGACCTGGGCAGCTCTGCCCAACAAACATTTGAGAGACTATTTGGTTGGTGATGGAAGCTTGGGGGTGGGGGACGCTGAGTCTAGATTGTCCTTTAAAAACTTAAGTTGGTTTTAACTGAAGCATCTACCATTCTGGAGAAAGGGAAGGGGGAACGGGAGGTGTGTGCAGGGCAGGGGTAACTGAGGTTATCCTCATCCGCCTGCCTCCTCCCTCCCTCTCACCTTTGTCTCGGTGAAGATGTTTTCCTCTCTTAACTAGAAGCCTTCAGGTAAAAATAAAGCCACAGCAGCAACAGAGGGGGAAAAAAAATGAGTCTTTTTTAGGGTTAAACATCAGAAGACAAGCTTGTGCGGCTCCGGCCAATCAGATCCGCCCTGCCAGCTATAATATAGTACTGAAGACTGCCTCTCGCACAAGCTCTCAGGCTTGCTACCATTTAAAATCAGACTCTTTTTGTCTTCTGCCGGCTGTCTTGAGCCCCAACTCCGATGCGTTCCGTTATCAGCGGCCAGCAGCCAGCCGTCCCAGCCCCCGTCTGGGTGCGGATCGGTGGCGAGTCCCCCGCAGCGGCGGCGGCGGGCAAGGTTATATAGGAAAAGAAAGAGCGAGGCAGGGCGCGCGGGCGCCAGCAGCCAGCCGGAGCGAGGGAGGCAGAGCGCGCACACTCGCACACCCGCACCCTCGCGCACTCGGACCTGCGCCGGCCGGCCGCCAGGTCCCCGGGCTCCGCGGACGAGATGCTGCTGCTGGCGAGATGTCTCCTGGTGCTGCTGGTCTCCTCGCTGTTGATGTGCTCGGGGCTGGCGTGCGGACCCGGCAGGGGATTTGGCAAGAGGCGGAACCCCAAAAAGCTGACCCCTTTAGCCTACAAGCAGTTTATCCCCAACGTGGCCGAGAAGACCCTAGGGGCCAGCGGAAGATACGAGGGGAAGATCACCAGAAACTCAGAGCGATTTAAGGAACTCACCCCCAATTACAACCCCGACATCATATTTAAGGATGAAGAAAACACTGGAGCGGACCGGCTGATGACTCAGGTAGAAACCCAGCGCGGGGCGTGGAATGTGTTGCTTTCAAGGGGTTATGTGTAACCATGCAGTTGGGTCTGTTTGCTCTTCAGGCAGGTAGAAAGGCGATTTTGCCCGCTCCTTCCCCACCCACCTGCCGGGCCTCCGGGTGCCTTCCTCTTCCTGGAGGGGAATGGAGGTGAAGGGTCCAGATGGACAAGTTGAGGGTGGGGGTGGGGGGTAAGGACGCCAGGAGATGCGGTCCACGGGAGCCCCTGACCGCATGCATCCTGCTGGGATGGCCTTTCTATCCCACCTGGCTTTGGCTGGAAACTTGGGGAGACCTTCCCTTTGGGGTCATCTGTCCTTTCCAAGTTGGGAGTGGGCACCGAGGAGGGCAGGGGGCAAGTCAAGGGGTGTCCGGGTCGCCGGGCAGGTGCAGCCTCTGCGCTTCCCGCTTTCCTTTCTCCTCTGTGCTTTCCCTTTCCCCCCACTACCCCACTCTGTCGCACGCCCCCCACCCCCAAAGCCCCTCCACAGGCAGTGCCGACACAGGGTTGGGGTCCAGAGGCCGCCGGGCTGGCCCTGCCCGGAACACAGAGCTTCCACCGCCACTCGGCCGCGGGAGGTTGTGCCCACCCGAGTGTGACTGTATCGATATTTCTTTAAGGATGCCCTCTGATTCTCCGGAGCCCGCGGTACTTGAGGGGAGGGACTTAGAACTTACTGGCATTGCATCACGCTAGTTTTCAACCTGCTTGCCTAGGAATTAGGAGAGACTCGGTATCAGCGGGAGGGGGGTGGAGAGACGAACCAAAGCGAAACACGCATTCCTCTCGCCCTCCCTACCTCCGCTGAAGACTCCTGACTGCCCATCTCCCCGCCAGTGGGAGACTTTCCGCCAACTCCACGCACGTAGGACTGAAGCTAGAAATGGATTTCCTGAGGAATATAGGTCAACATCCTTTTTATTGCCCTATTAAAATATTCGAGTCCTACCTTTAGGGCCAGGAGCGCACCGCCGCTGACGGAGCGGCGCTGGCGGGCCGCCGGTGCGGGGGAGGCTGGGGGCGGGAGAGACCCGGGAGCCGCCTCCGGGGCCGCGGCGCTCCCCGGCCCGCTGCCCGGCCTTGCGGCGGAGCCGAGCAGAGTGAGGGCCCGGCGGGGCAGCGGGCTTCCACGGACGGGCAGCGGGCGGAGAGAGAGCGGGGGCGGAGAAGGTCCTTCTCCCCGGCTCGCTCGCATCTGCTCCCGACCACCTTAAATCTGGCCCGCGAGTGCGGACGCGCGCGCCGGTGCCGGGAGCGGCGAGAGCCGCAGTTAACTCTGCGCAGGCCGCGGGGGGCCCGGAGCGTGCGGGGCTCCGACCCCCGGCTCACGCTCGACCCGCGGGACGGAAGGGGCCTTCCCGGGATCCCTCGGAGGCGGGGGAGCGGGGCGCGAGCCCGGAGAAAGCGGCGGGGGCGGGGGCGCCGGAGGTCCCCGAGCTGGAGGGCTCGGCGTGCGCCGCGCTCCGCGCGGGGCCGGCGCGGGAGGGCGCGGGGTCCCCGGCCCGCACTCTGCCTGGGCCGCGGGCCTCGCCGCCCCGCCACCCGGGACGAGCGCGCGGAGCCGCGCACCCGGGCAGACGCATCCCGGCTCCACTTACTCCGGGGTTATCGATCCCGCGGCTCGGGTTTCAGTGCGCGCGGGGCTGAACCGCGGCCTCCCGCCGGCCCCTCCACGCGCCCGAGCGCGGGCTCGGCCAAGAGCTCCCGGCGGCGCTCTGACAGCCGGGCTGGCGGGGGCGGCACCGAGCGGCACCGGGNTCGGGAGGCGAGTGTCTGCGTGTGCGCGTCGTGGTGTGCGCCTGCGCAGCGCGTTCCACATCCCGGCTCGAAACTGCCTCTGGTTTACTGATTGATTTTCATGTAAAACGCATTCAATCCTCGAGATGACCTCACTCAAACTCTGTCCTTCCGACTTTTTTTTTTTTTAAAGAAAACTGTTGGCGGGTCCAGGAACCTGCAAGCGCTGACCTGTTACCAGGGCCGCCCCCTAGTCCTCTGCCTGCACCACCCCCCCCAACACACATTTGTTGTATGTTTAACCCTACAACCATAGACTGGTATTTATTGCTGCCAAATACACAAGACTTTTCCTGTTGCGCAATCGGTCACGTCCCCTTAAAATGCGGCAGCAGCCCTTGCCAGAGCTCCGCTCCGGCCGCCGTGTGCGCTGGCAGCATTTGAACTTCTGACCTTCTGTCAACTTCCCTCAGACGAACGAAACGAAAACAAATACTTTTTTTCCTTGGGCAGTGGCTATTCCCGTTCCCAACACAAAAGAAGGGGGGAGGGGCAGCCGGTGAGGGGGCGGGGTGGGGCAGGGCGGGCCAGGATCGTAGCCGGGACCCCCCCAACGCCCCCTGAAAATGGGGAGGCTGGCTGGGGGGCGGCCTGAGAGGTGCCCCCCTTGCTCTCCGCCACCGCGTCCTTCCCGCGCCCCCCGGTCCTAAGAGTTAAAGCGCGGAAGGCGGGAGACCTGGGCGGGGAGGGGAGGGCAGGGCCGGCGAAGTGGGGGGAGCGGGCACCTGCGCCCCGCGGGCCCCCCACTTAAGATAACCGCCCAGACTGTTCTCAGGTGCGTGTCCCTCCTCCCCCGTCTCTCTGCGTCCCTGTCTCTCTAATGGGACTGCCGCCCAAGTCCCTCAACCATGGCGAGATCGTCCCCAGTGGAACTTTGAGAGCAGTTCAGGAACGCAGGCGCTCCTGTTAATATTAACTCGGGGCGGGGAGGGGGGAGCGCAGACCGACACGCTCTCCCCGCAGGCCGGCCGCGGGTGCCGGGGGCTCCGAGGGGGCAGGGGGCCGCCGGGGGCCGGCCGGGGGCTGCGGTGGGGACCGGCAGGCTTCCGGGGAGTGCGTGGCGGCCCCCGGGGAGCGGTGCTCCGCGGTGGGTTCCACAGGAGGGGCCTGGTTTTCTGCAGTGGGGGCGGAGGCGTGGAGAGAGGTGCGTGCGGGACTTGGGGGAGGGACCCTTGTGAAGTTGGGGCACCCCTCCCCCGCGCCGGGGAAGCCCGTCGGCGGCGACAGCCCCCGCTCGGTTCCCCGGGGCGCGGAGCGGCTGCGCAGACGGGGGAGGCGGCGGGAGCCCAGGCGTGGGGAACAGCTCGGCCTTCCGCCGACACAAAGCCGGGCCCGCCGGCCCCGCCGGGCTTCACGGTGGCTGCACAGAGGCGGGCTTGATTCGTGGCACACGACCCAGTGAATTGATCACCGGCCCAGCCTTCCC